CAGAATATTATTAGGCATACTTAAATCCCCAAAGCAGCCGTAAGCATTCACGGACATTGGAAAATGACCGTGGGAAGAGTCTGTTAACAATCTATCTCAATGCCACTAGATTGGGGAAAATGAAGTCTACCAATGCCAAGAGGTGGTAAAAACGAGAGTTGATGAAAACACTTCTGGACTTTAGAATACTCTCTTTGCCACCCATTTGGTGTTATCTGGTAGACTTGAGTATTTGCACACTTTACAGGCCAGTAATTTCACTCCTAGTATACACCCTAAACACTTGCCTCAGGGGACATGAACAAGAATGTTCACAGCAGCGACACTGTTTACAAGTGCCAAACCCTGGGGTGGGAGAACACATTGGTCTGTCAACAGATAAAGTCTGTAGTGCAAGTAAGTAATCTGAGATACAGTCATGCAATGGAATATTATACAGCAGGGAAAATGAAAACCCCACTACCACATGCTACATGGATGAATCTTAATAACATATAGATTTAAAAAGCAAAGCGGCTTTACACTGCATGCAGTATGATACTAGTTTATCATGCTATAAAAATAAACAAATGGCTTAAATTTTATTTAAAAAAAAAGAAAATGATAAACATGAATATCAGAAAAGTAGTTACCTCTACAGTGAACAAGATGAATGGGATGGGGAGAAGCATGGACAGATGCAATGATATCAGGAATGTTCTAGTTCTAGGTTGGGTGGGAGGTTCATAGGAATATAATTTATACGTTTTAACATGTTACGTATATTCTTTGGCACGTACCAAATATCACATAATAAAACATCTTTTAAAATGGATAATCTAGTCCAAATCTGGGCAGTTTCTGGACCCAGATGAACCCTGACTGGTCAGGTTTTATTCTCCACTGGACCCAGTCTGATTCCTGCTGGTTTCTGGACCCCATCTGGAAGAAATGTTCTATGAGTCAAGTCTGAAAGCTCCTAACAGAAAAGCTGGGCAGCTGGGATCCAGGCTAAGAGAAGGACTTATTTGCCTGCTCCAGAAACAGAGAGAACGCACTAGCTCAAGGAGCTAGGAAGGCATCTGCTTCAATTACCGAAAAGCAAGTTGAGGAGCACTGTGATGCAAGATCCTTGCAGCAAATCCAGAGAGCTCCTCGTGGCCAGAACTGAACACTCTGAGCAATGACACAGAGATTCAGAGTATTGGATTAGAACCCACAGAATAAAATAAATACCCATGGGTGAATGGACAGTCCCTTCCTTAAAAGAGAATTCACAGCAATACAAATGTGAAAGGGAAGAAATGGAAATTTCCGTTGAGCAAACAGTGCAGGGACACTCGTTGCTTACAAGTTTTTAATAATGAATGCTAAAATCAGTGAGGGAAAGACTGGTGAGAAAGAGGATACATGCAGTCTCAGAGATATAGTTCCCAAGATATTGCCACCTCATCAGGCAGGGGGAAAAGCAGCTTTATGGTGGTGCAACCCAGCAGAATCCACCTTCTCCAGGTGATCGAGGGTCACGTCACATCACCAGCAAGAAGACACACAGATAGCGTAAACTCGATGATATGATGCACTAAGGAGGACACAACATCACTTCTGTGACATTCGTGCCCCAAATGCATTAGCTTCACTCTGATCACGTAAAAACACTAGACAAACACAAACTGAGGGATCTTCCACAAACTAACTGACCAGTACTCTTCAAAGGTTTCAAAGTCCTAAAAGACAAAGACTAAAGAACTATTATACTCTGTAGGAGACTAAGAAGAAATAATGACTCAATGTAATGTGGGATCTCGACCGGATTCTGAAACAGAAAAAGAACGTAATTGGCAAAACTAGTGACATTTCACTAAGGCCTTCAGTTTAATTAATGGTATTATAGCAATGTTAATTTTCTGGTTCTGATCATTGCACTATAGTTACGTGCTAACATTGGGGTGGTTGACTAAAAGATAAATGGAAACTCCGTGTCCTGGTTTTGTAACTTTTTAGTAAGTTTAGAAGTAGCTCAAAATAAAAAGGGGGTGGCCTGGGTGGCTCAGTGGGTTAAGCATCTGCCTTCGGCTCATGTCATGATCTCAGGGTCCTGGGATTGAGTCCCGTGTTAGGCTCCCTACTCAGCAGGGACTCTGCTTTTCACTGCCGCTCTGCCCTCACCCCCTGCTCAAGCTCTCTTACCCTCAAATAAGTAAAATCTTTAAAATAAATAAACAAATAAAATAAAAAGTGGGGGGTTTTAGGGCAAAGGATAATCTAAAGAATTGTCCATTGCATAATAGGTTATTCCAACTATTATAATTAATATATAATTATTATAAATAGTAGTTAAAAGTTAAAATCTTAAATATCTTGGGGCACCTGGGTGGCTCAGTCAGTTAAGTGTCCAACTCTTGATCTCAGCTCAGGTCATGATCTCAGGATTGTGAGATCAAACCCCACATCAGGCTCCAGGCTCCATGCCAAGCATGGAACCTGCTTAAGATTCTCTCCCTCTGCCTCTACCCCTCCCTCCCCCACTCATTCTCGCTCCAAAAAAATAAATAAAATAAAATAATATAAAATAAAACAAAGTAAAATCTCAAATATCTTTAGTTCCTATGTAAGATATGGGTCTTAGTTCTCAGTTTGGAGCTATATGAAAACATCACGGTGCACATATTACATACACACACTGTCAATTATACGGCAATGACACTGCGGGGAAAAGAAAGCAACGGTCTTTTCATAATAATGAGTATTTCTATAGGAAGGAGTGACATTCAAAATATTTAACAACTTATTTGATTATACAAATTAATATAGAAATCCAAAATTACCACCATCTGCTTGTTTCCTTCTATTTATTATGTTCTCAGACCAGTCCTTCAGAGACTGCCATTCCCAAAAGTAGCCACACAAGGGCGACTCTAACGAGCTGTGCCTGCTGGGAGTTGGCATTCAGAGCTCCAGAGCTGTCCTGTCTGGCCAGGGAGCCCTGTTGGGATGAGGGGCGGCAGGGAGGACCTACAGAGGGCAGGCAGGGCCCCTCACTGAGAAGGTGGCATTCAAGCAAAGATTTAAAGGAAATGGGAGCATGAACCATGCAGATCACCTGGGGAATTTTCCAAAGCAGACAGCCTCTCGTATAAATGCTATGAGAGAAGAGTCTCGTGTTCTAGAAACAGGAGGGAGGCCAGTGTGGCAGGAGCCAAGGTGACGTAAGACAGCAGTAAGACGCTTGAGGGCCATTACAAGTAGTTTGGCTTTTATTCTAAATGCAAAGGGAAGCTGATAACCAGTTCTGAGCAAAGGAGAGACCTGAGATGACTGTAAAACATCTTTAAATGTCTGCAAGATTAGATTTAGAACAACTTGAAGGGGAATACAGACAGAAGCAGGGAGACCAGTGAGGAGGCTATGGCGGATATCTAGTGAGGAGGAGATGGCCCTGTGGCCAAGGGCAGCAAGTCTTTATAAGTTCCATCCCCCACATTCAACAAAGTGCACCGAGATGTGCTTAAAAGTGTGAGATTAGATGTTATCACCACACGAGGGAGTAAAGATGAGAAATGCAGGAGGGAGGAGAGACCAGCCAGGGCACGAGCAGGAGCAGCCCACCCTTCCCACGACAGGTCACTGCCAACCTGAACTCAAATGTCTGTCGCTCTCATGAATGTCTTCATACTTTCACTCAAAAGGCTATACCTCCAGACAATATATAGAAGTGTTTTTGCACGCTCTTCAACTTTTTTATATGGTATCATACTCGATATATTTTCCCCAGTTGTCCTTTTCCCCATCCAACCAATATTTATGAACTTTATCCTCATTAATACATGTTGCTCTAGGCCCTTCATTATTCACTGCTACCTGGAATTCCTTTGGGTGAACATGCCACATTTGAGCCATGTTCCTGCAGAGGGACACATAGGTTACTCCCCTTTTTCTGCTATTATGAACGACACCGGTATGAGCATTCTCACGTGGGCCTCCTCAGGGGAGACCTCTCGGCTATAGTTCTCAAGCTATGCAGAGTCACCTAGAAGCCTAAATAAAATAGATTTCTAAGCCCTACAGGGTTTTTTTTTTTAACATAGACCTAAGATGGGGCCCAAGAATTTGCATTTCTAACAAATTCCCCCACGATGCCATTGCCATTGGTCCCAAGACCACACTGAGAAACACCACACTGAGGCCCACGCCAAGAGTGCAAATGGTGGTCAGAGACAGGCATGGACATCTTGCCCTTCTCCAGGCATTGCCAACGGCTCTGCAAAGCTGGCAAACCAATTTACCTTTCCACCAGTGTAAGTACATGTGTCCCTGCTGCCAACACTTGGTGCTGTCACATTTTTTATTTAATCTGATCTTTAGTTATTTTTTAAATTTATCACGGCATTTATAATTTTATCTACTCAACACATGTAAATAAAAGCAAGCTAAGACTTTACATCCTAGGACTTTTCTTTTTTTTTTTAAGATTTTATTTACTTATCTGATAGAGATCACAGGTAGGCAGAGAGGCAAGCAGAGAGAGAGGAGGAAGCAGGCTCCCTGCTGAGCAGAGAGCCTGATGCGGGGCTCGATCCCAGGACCCTGGGATCATGACCTGAGCGGAAGGCAGAGGCTTTAACCCACTGAGCCACCCAGGGGCCCCCTAGGACTTTTCTTTATAGCTAACCCCCTCAGGTTCTGTCATCAGCCCAGCTACCACTTGTTTTTCCCATAAATCCTAGAAAAAGACACATGGTTTGGACAAAATCATTAAGATCCTGTTGAAAGGAAAGTGGAAGCTTGCTCCTTTTCATGGGCAACTGCACTGTGTTTTATTTATTGCCTTTTGTTTGTTTGTTTGTTGACTCAATAAGGTGAAGGGAGAGAGGAAAATCCGGCACATGGGGAGAAGAAGGGAAAGTGTGCTCACCAACATACCTGATCACTTTTGGAAGGCAATAAAGAAATCATAGGGAGGGAAGGGTTCCTTCCACTCCGTGCCAGGTTAACAAGGAGACAAGAAGCTGGGTACTCACGGATCTGGTTGGTGGACGCACTGTAGAAGGCGTTGACGGTTGTTGGATTTGTGAACCACCTGTAGAAAGAGAAGCAAATACCACCAGGCAATCACCATGATCCATGCAGAAGGGCAGCAAGAATGAACACGATGTGGCAGGACTCATTAGCAAACAACCAGGGAACAATGGGGAAGTGGGGTATATGGGCAACTTCTCACCTCAGTCTAGGGTTATTGCTCCGTGCAGTGAACAATCTCGTCCTAAATTGAACAGGGTTCAATGAGAATATATGACCATATGCCTGGTTATTCACTCCTCCTAATGTAATGGAAAAAGTCAGCACCGGTGCTTCTGAAATAGCTTTAAGGAGAAATTCTAGAATCTAGAGGGCTCTCCCAAGAGATGGAAAGAGCAACAAGCTGATGTTCGGCAGGCCCTGCTCAATGGGTCCATGGGACAGCTAAGTTTCGACAAGGCATCACCTCTGAATGGTCCTTTAGAGGTTTTAGATTGATGACAGCGTAGAGGCCCATGTAGAGAGACATGACTAGAGCATGACCATGCTGCCCAGAGGGTCTGCCTGCTCCAGGTGCAAGTTCACAGATTTATTTTTTTTTAAGATTTTTATTTATTTATTTGAGAGAGAGAGAAAGTGAAAGAAATCATAGAGGGAGAGGGAGAAGCAGACTTGCCACTGACTGAGAGGAGAGCCCGAGGAGAGGCTCGATCCCAGGATCCTGAGATCATGACCTGAGCTGAAGGCTGATGCTCAACTGACTGAGCCACCCAGGCGCCCCTGAGTTCACAGATGTAAGCTCCAGATCTAATGGCTTGTCCTGCCTCTATCACTAAGTCGCCGAGTTGTGTTGCAACAGCTGCCCACCTTCCTGGGGTGTGGTTTTGGCTATAAAATTTAGGTACTGCATTAAGAGGTCTTGGGAGTATTTTCCGGCTATAAAGAGCCTACATTCCATTTGAAATGCATACATTACTTAGAGTAGGGCTTGGCAAGTTTTTTCTGTCAAGAGTCAGATGGTAAACATTTAGGCATTTTGCAGGCAAAGAGGCAAGAATCCAAGATGTTATATAGGCACCTCTAGCGTAGGAGCAAAGCTTCCACAAAATGATATTGATGAAATTAAAAATGTTATAACTGAGTACAATTTTTTTAAGGCAGGCCATTAATGAGAAGAATGGAGTTCTTCTGAGGCAGAATAACATTTTTGCTTAATTGGGATTCGAGGTTAGTGCTTCCTATCTTCAATCGACTGCAAATATTTATCTCTCAGAATCACTCTGTGCTCACGGGCCATAAGAAAACAGGCATTAGGCAAGATTTAGCCCCCAAGTTGCAGTGTGCGGACCCCTAATTTAGATGCCAGTGAGTTTCTGCCCTTTAGGATGAAAACCAAGCTATCTGAAGCTAAATTATTCAAAATAAACTCGTATAAATCCCTTTTCGGAACAATCATTTTAGTAGTTTATATTTAATAGGAGAATTACAACAAGCTAATAATTTATGTCAGACTAATATGAAACTGGTAGGAAGTCCAAGTGTTGATTCTTGTTGATCCACACATACCTTCTCCGTATAAAGAAGTCTACAAATAGGTCACGGTGTTATTCTCATTAGTGGTAGTAGCAGCGGCAGCAAACCTTCACTGAGCGCTCACAATGCCCTAAGCATGCCCTATTCCTCAGGTTTTCTTCCCCACAGCAACTATAGAAATTATTGGCCTATCTCATAGACGAGGACAGTGAGACTTAACAAGCATTACATACCTGCATAAGGTCCAGTCTGAGTTCAAGCCAGTTTTTTTTTTCCCCCAAACCAGTTCTCTTAAACATTGTATCATACTGGACACATTCCTGGATATCAAGAAAACGAGTGCCTCCTCTAGTCAAAACTGAAACCTATACTCCTTTCCATAAAATGCGTACTCTTTGCCTTCAGGCTTAGGAATAGTATTTCAATAAGCGCTAGTGTTTAGCAAACAAACCTACTGACTGGTTTACTTTCTTGAGGAAGTAAGTGAAGGCAAAAGCCCCTTCATTGCCCTAACATCACTCCTTATAGTAGGTAGAATTAGGGCTCCCCAAAAGATGTTCATGTCCTAATCCCTGGATCCTATGAATAGGATACATTACATCCCAAAAAGGACACTGCAAATGTAATTAAGGGTAAAGTTCAAAACAGAGAGATTATCCTGGATATGCAGGTGGGCCCAATCTCTCACTAGTCCTTAAAAGCTGACACTGTTCCTTGGCTGGAATCCAGAGATGCAATGGAGGAAATCAGATTCCAAGAGTCAAAAGGATCCGACATGCTGTTGTTGGCTGAGATGTAGGGGCCATCATGCAAGGACCAGAGAGAAGTCTCGAGAAGGGAACAGCAGCTCCCAACTGACAGCCAGCAAGGAAGTAGGGATGGCAGTTCTAGAAGTACCAGGTGGAGGAGTTGCCAACATCTCAATGTGCTCAGAACACAATTCTTCCCAGAGCCTCCAGCTACGAGCCCAGCCCACTGACACTTCGATTCCAGCCTCATGAAACCTGGATCTAAGAAAGCAGCAAAGCCATCCTGTACTTCTGACCTCCAGAACTGTGAGACAGTACGTTTGTGTTTTGAGTTGCTAATGTTGCGTTAGTTTGTTACAGCAGCAACAGAAAATTAACGCATTACCCAAAGAACCCAGCATTCCTACGCCTGAAGTTTGAGTCGAGACAGGAGAATCCAGGTGCCTCTGAACTTGGCCTCTAGATGACACTGGTCTGAAGCATACTGTGCACCAAAGATGAGGTGTATTCCTAGAGCTCATCCCTTCCCTTTCCCTCCCCCTCCCAACTTCCCCTTCTCTTTAGCCAACAATCAAACTTGCAAAACATGAAGATAAGGGTCCCTGCAGGAAAAATGTTTTTAACTGCTGATGGACAAAGGTGGACAAAACAAAGAAATCAAACCATCAGGTGGGGCCCGACGGGGCCTCTGAAGCTTCAGCAGGAGTAGCTGAAACATCCTATTTCATACACATGATCTCACCTCTCTTGACTTCCCAGAGCTCTTGCTATCTCTGTGCTATGTCTGGAGTCTTGATTATACCCAGAGCTGATATTAAGCTGCTGCACCAGTAGATCCTAGCACTTGTAGGCACTAGTATTTCTTCTCATTGGTCAGTGCCCATGCCAAACCAGCCATTAAATATTGCGTCTACCTTCCTCATTATAGCCAAGTTTATTATACATTCAGTTTTACTATTCTCTAATATAAGGCTACCAACCCTGGTTTTAATATGTGTTTATAATTTTTTTCACACTCCTCCCATTAAGAAGTGGAACCTAAATTCCTCTCCTCTGGATTATGGGCTAGCCTTGGTGAGTCGGTTCTACAACATAAAATGCAATGGAAATGACACCACAGGTCTTCCCAAACTAGGCAATTTAAAGGCAGTACAACTTCCCCCTGGTGTACAAACACTCTCCCTTCCGCTTCTCTTTCTCAGGAACTTGCCCTTTGATGCTTCTTGCTCAATCAGCATGCTGTGAAGAAGCCCAGTTCACGAAGCCACAGGAGATGCTCCAGCCAACAGCCATCATCAGCCACTAGATGCGAGAGAAGCAGCCTCCCCACGACACCAGCCCCAGCCACTCTCTGACTGCAGTTACATGAAAGACTGGAAGCAACAGCCACCCAGCTGAGCCCAGTGCCGGCCAGAGCCACAAGATGGGGGGAGAGAGAGAGAGAGAGAGATGTAATTCTTGTTGTTTTAAGCCTCTAAATCTTAGAGTGCTTTGTTACACAGCAGTAAATAAATGAAACATTGAAAAGTTGGTTGTCCGTGGATTACATTGCAGCCACTGGGTTGAATTTTCCCATAAAGATGTTTAATTTGCCCAACATGACCGTCTTTTAAAGGACTGAAGTGGAATTCATTTAAATGAGGTTCTCCACAGTCCCCACCACCCCCTAGCATTTATACTCGGGGAGGTCACCATTTGCTAACTGACTGAGCCTGGAAAGTGTATGAGTTCATGCAAATTATCTCCCAACAAGATTTTAAGCTCCTTATGTGCTAAGACTATTGTCCAAGTGGCATGCACTGAGCAGAAGATCGGTACATCTATTTAAATGACGTATTGCTATATATACATCTACTTGAATAAATAAATAGCTTTAAATTCAAGTACTTTAAATTCTTACCACTACTTTGGGATGTTCTGTGTTTGGGGAAGGATTTGATAGAAAAGGTATGAAGAAGCCTCCTATAAATTTCAAAGGGAAGGGGCGCCTGGGTGGCTCAGTGGGTTAAAGCCTCTGCCTTCAGCTCAGGTCATGATCCCAGGGTTCTGGGATCGAGCCCCGCATAGGGATCTCTGCTCAGCAGGGAGCCTGCTTCCTCCTCTCTCTCTCTGCCTGCTTCTCTGCCTACTTGTGATCTCTGTCTGTCAAATAAATAAATAAAATCTTTAAAAAAAAATTTCAAAGGGAAACTATATGGGGATGAAAAGATACTGGACAATGGAATACACAAAAGGGATATAATGGTAATAATGAAATACAATTGTCTAAAGACAAAGACATTGGTACCCCAATTTCTATGGACCATATAAAAGAGATGTACACATCAGGCTAAAGTTTGACATTTTACCCATCAACTCTTAGAGATAGTTGCAGAAATGGCAAAACCACAGAATATTTATTGCCTTATTTCTAATATCCTATAGAGTGTATCCTTCCCATTTCATAGATAATGCTTTTGCAAACAAAAATTATGGGCAAAACCATAATTTGTATAGACATTTCATGTAATTTTACATATTTTTAAAAGTTATTTACTTTTACTTATTTTAGAGAGAGAGAGCAGGGGGTCGGACAGAGGGAGACGGAATCTTGAAGCAGGCTCCCTACTGAGCACTGAGCCCGATGCAGGGCTCAATCCCAGGGCTCAATCCCCTGAAATCAATGACCTGAGCCAAAATCAAGAGTCAGCCGCTCAGCTGACTAAGCCACCCAGGCACCCCATATTTTTAACATATGTTTGAAAAGATAGAGAAAGAAGATCCAGACATGTTTGGTCAC